AGCTAGGCCCATTGTATAACGGGCTAGGCCTATTCGTATGTTGGATTAGGCCCATGGATCAGGAAGGGCTAGGACCAATGTATGTTATGTGCTAGCTGTCTCTATGACTCTTGCATTGTATGTTGGGCTTGGCCCATTGTATGATGGGCTAGGCCCATTATATGATAGGCTAGGACCATTATGGTGGGATGGGCCCAATGTGAGGGTTATGCCCCATGTGAGGGCTAGGCCCAATGATATGTATGGTATGTGGTATTTTGGGGAACTCACTAAGCTTTGTGCTTACAGTTTTATGGTTATGGTTTCAGGTACTTCTGGTTCGAAAGGGAAGGGTCCGGCTTGATCGTAGCGCATCCACCCATGTTTCCAAAACTTTATGATTTTGAGATTGTACTCTGATAACTATTTTTACTCTGATATACTTTTGAATGATTGAAAATGATAAATGGTGTTTATGTTTGAATTTAAAAATGAAATTTTTACCTTATAATTTTTTGGGACGTTACAAGTTGGTATCAGAGCCTTGGTTTCAGGGATTCGGACACACTCTTGGGTGTGACTGAACTCAAACTGAGGAGTTGGTAATCTTTTAAAAGAAAATAAATTTCTAAAAAAAAAGACTTCTATAAATAAAAAGGGGGTGTGGTTTGTGTAATCAGTCGAGCTTAGTAAGTGATTCCCCTAATACCCATACATGTTGATGTGTTATATGATATGAATGTTTGCATTCTAGGATAAGGCTAGGGATACTTTCAAAAATTGCATGATATATTGGCCTGAGTTGTGATGCCTTTTAGCCTAGGGAGCATTGGATACCATGCTAGATTGGGAATATGTATTGGTATCAGTAATTGCTAAGTGTATGCTTTAAAAATTGTATACGGTTAGGATAATATAGCCATAGAATGACTGATTTGGCCTTATTTCATGTTCATTGTCTGGTTGTGGTCCTAGGGTAGAGTTTTTCATTCGACAGTCTATTTGATCATGTATTGTGTATAATTTGCATACATAAGGCAATTGGCAGTGAGAATAGAAGCTCCTAGCATGGTAGTAGCAAGTGAGCTTGGGAGGTCCTTTGTTTGTCTGGTGACTTGTAGTGTTACTGCACGAATGTTGCTTGCTTTGTGCTTTGTGATACTCTTGATGATGTGAATTAACTATTAAGTGAATATGTTAAGTCACATGTTGCATGGGTTGAATAATCTCAGATTGATTTGACCCAACTGCGCAGCTCTCGTCTGAGTCTAACCGTAGTAGGGATGAGTCTTTTAGTCGAAGGATTATATAAGCTTTGTGGCATGTGATTGTGTTCATGAAGTAGTTAGTTGACATTAGTGGGAGTTTTTTAGCAGCTGATGGCAGGTTGAGGTCGGGAACCTAGGAGAGCTTAGGAAGTGTTATAGTGGGTTTGGATGCGCTGTTTAGCGAGTATTTCGAGTATCAGATTGAGGAGGTGACTTAGAGGATTCGAGATGATTCTTGAGGAAATTATGGATAGGGGTGGAATGTAGTATTGGGCCCGTACTACTGAAATCACAAGATCCGTACTCGAATCGGGGAACATCACGAGGATTCTAAGAAGCCGATAGAGGATTAATATGTGTATTGTTGATTAGTGGGTAAAGTGTGATGGATTAGTGATGACATTTTGGTCTTGTTTAATAGGATATCAATGCCTGGTCGAGAAGCACAGCCCTTTAAGATTGGTGCGGGCGACACATGATTATGTGACTGGATTATCGCTGAGGTTTCACATATTTTACTGGAAGAGTTGCCCGATATCATTGGTCGGATCACTGACATGCTGATTGTCAAAATCGAGGAGCGGACCACAATCTTATGTGATGCAAGAGAAGTTGTTGCGGTTGCTGGAGAAGGAAATCTTGATGTGGAGGAACGACCAGGAAAGAGAAGGAAGACCCATGATTCAGAACGATTGGAGGGAGGTGGAGAGTTCGATGCAGCTGATTTAGGTGCTGGAAGTCAGGGGGGCTATGATATATGTGGCAAGTGTGGGGGAACTCACGGGTTTGCTTTTTATAATTTTAGGTGTTTCAAGTGTGGGGAAAGAGGGCATGTGCACCGAGATTGTAAGAAGGATCAAATATGTTTTCATTGTCAACAGTCTGGTCATTTCAAATCCGGATGTCCTGCATGGGTGGCGGAGGGAATGCAGACCCCAACACCCATCGTCTTGCATGAGGTCAAGGTCGATCCTCAAGAAATCCCTGGTACGTATTTTCAACTCCATCTCTATAATGATATTTCCATCTAGAATAAGCATGTTCATTGGCCAGTGTTGTGTTGACGGATCAGAAATCTTTTGTGTAGTAAAATTGTAAGAACTATATTGAAATTTACACAAATTTTAATAGGTTAAGGTTCAGTCCTCCGGGGGCCTCATTAAACAGTAGTGTGTATATCACTATTGTTAGGTTCGAGATAGTGATGTTGGAAAGTTTCTGATAATCCCATCTAAGGTTCAGGGTCCCTTTATGATTGCTTAAGTCATTGTTCAAAGAATTGTTATACACCATTTTTGCATACCAAGAGCCGTGCTTAGAGGAAAATTAAGTATTCTGATTGGGAGATCAACAGTTGGATCGACATGTAGGATTAGCACAATGGGTCAGAGGGGTTGCCGTATAAGTTCATCTGGTCATTGGAATTCAAGATAGTTGTGGATTTTAAAGGATTGGTCAGAACGTGGGTATAAAGGAGTCGTTCACATGTTCATGTCTTCAGGAATTGTGAGTGCGGTCTTCGCATCAGGAGCTTTAAGAAAATACCATATGGAAGCTGGATGTCCCTTTCTGGGAAAACGAAGTCAGAATTTAGGAGCACTTGCGTCGCTCAGGATGGATGTCAGCTGATTGTTGACATGCATTGAATCAATTGCTACTGCTAGTAGGGAAAGAGCGGTAGTGAACCATCACTCTTGAGTGTGAGTGATGAATTGACTACATGGGTTTGTTTAGATGTTGGGATTGACGATAGGATTTAAATGGATTTGGTTAGAGATGTTGTGAGTGCATCGTTTTCTTTCGGCAAGTGGGTAGTTGGATTGGTGATATGTCCATTCCGGTTGAGGGTTATAGATCTTCGTTACCAGCTGAAGTGGTTCGAGGATTTGGAATTGTATCATGGGAAGTGCCTTGGGTAGCGAAGCGTTTAACTTGGTTTGATCGTGGGTATAAGATTGATAATTGTCAAGTTCATTGTAACACCCGTTCCAGGTATGAAAAGTGTAGATGTCATTTTGGGTGGTCACGGCGTGGTGGAGCCTGACCACGACGTGGAAATAGCTTATGGGTCGCGAAGATTTACTGAACCACCACGACGTGGCAATAGGTGCCATGACGTGGTGGCCGCTATTGGAGAAAACCCTAAAGTTTAAGGGTTTGAGCCCTATTAAATGACCTTAACTTCTTGAAGCCTCTCTCCCATCAGCCTCCATCCCTCATAATCGTCCCTTGCAAACCCTAGACCTCTTGTATGTGTGTTTTAGCCTAAAGTGTGTGTTTTTGGTGCTTGTGAAGAAAGAAGGTAGTGGTAGATCATCTTGGGAGTCCAAAGCAATGTAGATCCAAAAGTTTGTCTTCCTCAAACATCTCCAGGAGGTATAAAGTCTTCATCTTGATGAGTAAACTTATAGATCTCTAGATTTTGTCAACCCTTATCTATGCCTTGTTGTTTTGGATGGTTTGATCTCATAAAGCTTGTAACTTTAGGAATCTCCAGGCCTTTAGGAGTATTTGGTGCTTTGAATCTAGACTAAGATTGAGCTTTGAGACCATGCATGGATCTTGGCCCTTTTTGCCTAATTTTTGACCTAATAAGAGTTCAAGACATGCATGTCTGAAAAGCACATATTTTTATTTGAGAATGGTGTTAAAAAACTCTTCTGGAGTTGTTGGAGAAGTGACCTTATAGATTAAGTGCTTATTGCTTAAACCATGCAGTGTTTTGGACCATAAAGTTGAGATCTACGCACCTTGGAGAGTTCTAATGGATAAAGTTGGAAACTTTATCCATCTAGACCCTAAAATGGACCAGACCAGAGTTGGAGAACCCTTGGAATCGAAGAAAACGGCTTAACCCATTAAGTTGTTGAGTACCCAATGGCCACGACATGACAAAGATCACCATGACGTGGAGGCTAGGTTGGTCACTACTATTTTGTCATATCGACACCCCGACATGGTCAAGGATGACCACGATGTGGCGGTCAGTCTGTTGACTTTCGTTGACCATTTATCATTGACTTTTTTATCAAGTTTGACTTGGGGTCAAACTTGAGGATTTTGAGCTATTGATTGAGATCCTATTTGGTTATGGTGTTAGTGAATTCGCAGGAGCAAGCAGTGCGGAAAAGGGCATCGTATCGCAGTGTTCAGAGTTCTTCGATTCACGTGAGTTTCGCCTTTCACTTTCTTTCATTTTGGTTGTTCGCTCGAAAATGAATGACACATCTAAGATTAGGGATTCTCAGAACATAAATCAACAAAAAAAAATGATATGATGGAAATCGATGTGTACTTGGATAAGATGAAGATTCAAATTGAATTAATAACCAACACTTAATTCATAGTAAACCGATAGATATCGTTTGAGAAGCGGAGAACCATTGGATCCGTGGGACTATCGATTGTTGCCGCCGTCAGACAAGAATGTAGCAGAGAAGCATATTGGTTGAGCAGTATAGAGAAAACGAAGAGGGTGAATTTCTTATACCATTCAATTTTGAATAAGACTTCGTCCTGAGAGTTTAAAGGATTATAAGGGGTAAAATTGGTATTTCATTTTGAATAGGAGGGGCTTAACAATTGCCACGTAGCAATTAGATACTCATTTATTTATTATAGGAAGAAAATTTTTGACTTTTATAGTCTGTATTCCAACCATCTTTGTTCCTTCCAGGAATTTTCCAAAAATTAAAACAATGACATGTAGATTTTGACATTTTGTCCATTGTATATTTTATATGATTAGATCTCAATCATTCAAAACCCCTCAATTATGGCAAAAATGCTCCTGTTGCTCTGGTTACTTGTAGATCTTCTCGTATTCATAATCACAGGTGTGTTTCTTTTTTCATTTGGCCCGTGAATACAGTTTTCGTTTTGCTCACAGGCGTTTTATCGTATCGTTTGGGTAATTGAACTATTATTTTCTTTTTAATTGTGTAAAAGGCGAACTACTATTTTTCAAAACCGAATAACAAAAAAAAATGGTTTTTTTAACTGTTAGAAAAGTTACAATTATTCAATTGTATTATGTATATTATCATAAAGATGAATTATATAACAATGATTTTTGTGTTTACAGTCGCACAAGATGCGCAACCTGTAGGGGTGTGTTACGGAAGAGTCGGTGATGATTTGCCGTCGCAACAGGATGCGGTGAACCTTTACAAGATCAACAACATAACCAGAATGCGAATTTATGATCCAGATCGAGCTACTCTTCAAGCCCTAAAAGGAACCAATATCGAACTCATCATCGGCGTTCCTAATGATGCTCTGCAATCCCTCAGCCAACAAAGCGCAGCGAACACATGGGTTAGGAACAATATTCAAAATTACTCCGACGTCAGGTTTAGATACGTCGCCGTCGGCAACGAAGTCGATCCAAACAACGCGAATAGTCAATACGTAAGTTACGTACTTCCGGCGATGCGAAATCTACACAACGCCATTACAGCCGCCGGCCTAGGGAACCAAATCAAGGTGTCGACGGCAACCTACGCCGGTTTGTTAGGCGTCTCCTATCCACCAAGCAACGGCGCGTTTAATGACAATGCACGAGAGTTTATTGAGCCGATAATCAGATTTCTAGCTGAAAACAACTCGCCCATGCTTGTAAACATCTACCCCTATTTTGTTGACGCTAATGGCAATCTACTGTATGCGTTGTTTTTGTCACCGGGAACAGTTGTGAGTGATAATGGCCGGAACTACTCTAACCTCTTTGACGCCATTTTAGATGCTCATTACGCAGCTCAAGCATCTCTTGGTGGAGAAAATGTGGAGATTGTTGTGTCGGAGAGTGGGTGGCCATCGGCAGGAGGTGATGCGTGGACATTTCAGACCGCAGAAACTTATTATAAGAATTTGATTGCACATGTCACCGGGATAACAGGGACACCGGCGAAGCCTGGAAGATCAATAGAGACGTATTTGTATTCAATGTTTGATGAAGGAATGAAACCTGGAGCAGAATCGGAGAGACATTTTGGGATATTCTCTCCAGATGGACGACCCAAATATCAATTAAGCTTCAACCTCATCAAATCAAGAAATGGAAAGATAAGTGAAAGATATGGACTTCTCTCTGCCTTCTCTATACAAGGGTTTTGAGAATAAGCAAAGTATTCCATATAATAATGCGCCAAATCTCATGTAGGCGAGAAGATGTGTACCAGATAATTCTTTGGAGCTCATTCCTATGAGCCGTATCAGGTGCGGGTATCTGGAGGTAAATTTGTTGCACTGCATCGGTTCTATTGGTGTAAATTGTAATAGGAAAAAGGTAGATTGAAGAGTTTCTTTTTTGTCTTCTCTTGCCCTAATTGTCTTCGATTATTCACAAAAAGAGTAGAATAGGGAGATCCAGGTAGCTAATTCAAGATTTTTCCATGTTCTTACTGCATTTTTTTGATTTTTCTTGATGGATTAGTCAATGCCATTCCTTGAATCGTCATAAACACGTGTGTTTGGGTAGTCTCCGTTCATATTTCGTTGAATTTTACTTCAATTTTTTTGTCAAGATTCTAGAATCAGAACTTTGTATTTGACTGCCTCAGCACCACTTACTAATAAGATAACATGTTTGCTGTAAGAATTTTGTGTCTATAGAAGCAAACTAAATTTTTTGAAATTGTTTTACTTTATAGGGCCAAATAGAACTCTGTTCTCATGTTGATTCACTTTACAAAGCCAAATAACCTTTATGGATTGATTGGAGACGAATAGAGAGTCGACGATCCGTCTAGACTTTGATGCACACAAGGTGTTCGTCAAATGGTCCGAAAGAAGATTATAGTCCAACAAATTGTTAAATATGTAGATAATTACTAATAATTTGCTTATTTTGTAGACTATATTCTTCATATGGTTACTATCGTTTGCATTCCCTATACTTATTGGTGTTGTTGACAATAATCTGGTTGTACATTAGAGAGAAGTAGAGATGTATATTGATATTCAATTGTGTGAGTACAATATAGTAGCTAATGACACCTGTAATCCTAAATACAAGGTCCTATACATGTGTACATCTTAGATTACTGCTATCACCCATGCAAGCTCATGAGAGGGATGAACTTGAAGCTTGTGATGAATGACAACAAAGTGATCCTTAGGAAGAGCCTTAGTGAAGATATCTGCCAATTGGTCTTCCGAAGCAACATTGGAAATGGTGAGATCTTGAGCTTCAACTTGTTCTCGGATGAAATGAAAATCCAGGGCAATGTGTTTGAAACGTGTACTTATTACCAGATTTTTGGTCATGAAGATTGCACAAACATTGCCACATAATAGTAAGGGAGGATGAATTACTAGAATATGTAACTCAGACATAAGTTGTCTAACCCATATAAGTTCAACAGCAGTGTATGCCAAGGCCCTATATTCAGTTTCTATACTAGACCGTGTTGCTACCTTTTGTTTCCGAGATGTCCAACTTATAAGATTGTTGTCATGATAAATTGCAAACCCGTATTGGGAGCGACTGCCATCCTTGTCGGATAACCAATCGGCATCCAAGAAGGCTAGAAGAGATGATTTGGCTGAAGGTGAAAAATGTAAACAGTGATCAAGTGTACCATTAAGATACCTTAAGATTCTTTTCACAGCTTGTCAATGAGTAGTTGTAAATGAATGCATGTATTGACATACCTAATTAGAATTGCAGCATATTGTAGAGAGACAACAATCTGTTGATACATTTTTGGATCAAAAAATAAAATTTTCACCTTCTAGTGTTAGTCGGGAGTTCGAGTCGGCAGGTGTAGATATACGCGTAGCATTACCCATTTGGCTTCGTTCAATAATATCTCGAATATAGATCTCTTGACTAAGCATTAGACCCATGGATTGTCGTTTGATTTGAATGCTAAGGAAATAGTGCAAATAACCAAGTCTTTGAGTGAAAAAAAATTGGTTAAGTTTGTTGATGAACTGTTGAATAAGCATCGTACCTGTGATGATCAAATCATCTACATAAACAAGAATATAGATCACAGCCATGGTGGAGACATGAAACAATAAGGAAGTATACGATTGACATGCATGAAATCCTTGTGTGACAAGATAATTCTTTAGCTTAGTGAACCAAGCTCGAGGAACTTGTTTGATCCCGTAGATAGCCTTATGTAGTCGACACACAAGAGTTGGATTGTTGGGGTCATGAAACCTGGAAGGTTGTTTCATATAAACATCTTCTTTCAAGTCACCATTGAGTAAAGCGTTGTTGATATCCAATTGAAGAATGCATCAGCCATTTGAAATAGCAATAGATAGAACCAGTCGGATAGTAGTGGGTTTAATGATCGGACTGAAGGTCTCAAAGTAATCGACCCATTCCTCTTGATTGTAACATTGTGCTACTTCCTTGTAGCGTTCGATTGTACCATCTGATTTTCGCTTGATCCGGTAAATCCATTTTCAACCTACAAGATTCACATTAGGTGGACAAGTAACAAGTGACCATGTGGTATTTCACATTAGTGCATCATATTAAAAGTTGCATAGCTTGTTGCCAACAGGTGTGCTTAATGGCTTGTTTAAAAGTACGAGGTTCAATTGAGAGATCATGTGAAACATAGGTGGAAAAGGATTTGGGTTTTAACGAGTTTGTACAAGCTCTAGTAATCATGAGATGTTGACTCGAGTCAGCAGGTTGATACTATGCAAGAGGTATGTCACGTTGTCTTGCTCGTGAGCTATCAGTAGGTGTTTGATAGTGAGGAGTAGGAAAAGAGATGACGGTTGGAGTAGTGGAAGGTGAGGAAGTTGGGGTGATGTTAGAAGGCGGAGTAGGTGAAGGGTTATCAGAGTTGGTGGAAGATATAATGGTAGGTTGTTGTAGAAGATTGGTGGATACTGAAGTGGATGGAGTGGGAGATACGGTGGGTGACGGAAGGATAATCGTAGAGTATGGAAATACATCTTCATTAAAGATAACATGACGGGAAATGTAAATGCGGGAGAGGGAGCATGGAAACATAGGTAACCTTTGTGAGTAGCACTGTAGCTGAGGAACACACAAGGTAAGGAGCGAAAATCAATATTGTGATTGTTATGTGGACAAAGAAATGGATAACATAAGCAGCTGAAGGTCTTTATAAATGCATAATTTGGGACTTTGGAGTATAGCTTTTCATATGGGGACAAAAAAAGTAAGGACATGAGTGATAGTTCTATTATGGAGGTATGTGGTGGTTTTGAAAGCATATTCCCAGAATGTGTGAGGGAGAGATGATTGTGCAAAAACAATGGGCCCTTTTTCAATTACGATGCAATTTTTGCGTTCAACCGCACCATTTTGCTCTTGCGTATAAGGACATGATACACGATGAATAATACCGTGAGATTGAAGATATTTGGAAATATTTCTATACTCTCCACTCCAGTCGGTTTGTAGGCTTTATATTTTACTGTTAAATTGAGTTTGAATCATTTTTCAAAATTTAAAAAAGGCATGAAATACTTGAGATTTATGAGATAAAAAGTAAATCCAAACGGATTTAGTGCAATCATCAACAAAAAAATGAAATAACGGTTTCCATTTAATAGAAAAAGGGGAGATGGCCCCCAAACATCCAAATACGGTAGTTGAAATGGTTTTGTAGAAGAAACATGAGAATTATTTAAATATAAACGATGACTTTTTCATAATTGACAAGAGTCATAAACAGAAGGAAAGTGATTCGAAGAAATAGGTAGCTTGAATAAGGAGAGAAGACGCTTTAGTAGTGGTGCATGAGGATGGGCTAACCACTTGTGCCATCCATGAAGAGTGGTGTGAACTCCTGTGAAAGCCATGGTGGGTGTTGTTTTATTTGTAGTGGAAGGGATACGGTAGAGACCATGGTCAACGTTCCCTTGGAGGATTGTTTTGACCTGCAACGACTTAACATTGCAATGAGATGGCCAAAACTCTAGATATACATCATTATCCTCGGTTAGTTTAGAAACACTCAAAAGATGTTTTGTTATTTGTGGAACTACAAGCACAAATGGCAACTTAATAGAATGCAGATGAGATGAAGCAATGTGAGAAATAGTAATGTGAGTAACGTTACCAACTTAAAGCTTGTCAGGACCATAGTATTCATCTGCATCATTCATCTTTTGAAGGTCTGGGGCCACATGATTTGTGACCCATGTATCGAATTACCAAGATGGATCAACCACTGTGAAACATCCCAAAAATACAACCCAAAATTTTCGTTTTTAAATCATTATTAAAACCATAATATCATTGCCATAGTATAAAATCATAAGCCATGTGTCTCAAAATATCATAATATCTGTCGCATATCAAAATCTCATATCAAAAATATCATAGTAAAACTCCCAGGCTAAAGACTGTGGTGTGTGCCATGTGATCATCACGAGCCTTCCCTTTGTTAGTGGAAGTACCTGAAACCAAAACTGAAAACCGTAAGCACGAAGCTTAGTGAGCTCCCCCAAACTATCACATACCATACACACATAACATGCAACTAAGAGATACGGGCCCCGCCCACACTCCGCTAACTAGGAGATACGGGCCCCGCCCACACTCCGTTGACTCTGAGATACGGGCCCCGCCCACACTAAGCTACTTTGAGATACGGGCCCCGCCCACACTCGACTACTATGAGATACGGGCCCCGCCCACACTAAGCTGCTGTGAGATACGGCCCCCGCCCACACTCAACTACTAAACATACATACAAGTATCACACAAACAACAAGTATAACTAAATCTATCAGTCAGGCATATATCCATAATCAAACTACACTGTGAGATACGGGCCTCGCCCACACTCATGGAGATACGGGCCCCGCCCACACTCTGCTAACTAGGAGATACGGGCCCCACCCACACTCCGCTACTAACATATCATACTACGGGCCGGCCTTGGTGCCTTAGACCTGTTCCTACTGAATGGAAACTCACCTCGCAAGACTAACTGCTGAAAACTCGGGTGAGGAATCCCTGTCTGCTACTCCGGCGACTCTCCGGCTATAAATTCCATAATAACACTTAATCAAAATCTGATAATCCTTATTAGGGTAAAATAACCATTTTACCCCTACTCAAAGTCAACATCCTGGTCAAAGTCAAAGTCAAGGTCAACTCCCAGTCAACCCAAACTCGTCGAGTCATCTCCCAACTCGACGAGTTCATGAGCAACTCAGACACGTGGTCAACTAAGTCAACTCGTCGAGTCCCTTCCCAGACTCGTCGATTTCTTCCTGTCATAACATCGGGACATCTCGACTCTAACTCGTCGAGTCCCCTCCTTGGATTCGTCGAGTTCTTCAGCTTCCGAGTCCTAATCTTATCCAACTCACTGAGTCATCTCCTAAACTCAATGGTTTCACTCGCAACCAGAAAAGGAGTTAGGGTTCACGACCCGACTCGCCGAGTCCAAGAACAACTCGTCGAGTCCTCCATGTGACATATCCATTCAGTCGATTCTAATCCATTCCAATGTTTCTAACTCATAGATTTGGACTCCTTAGACTAGCATTACAAGTAAAGTTGCTAACTTTACGTACATGCATGGTGTTATGAAGCTAAAACACCCAATCCAAGCTAAAATGAAGGTCTAAGTCAAAGAATGGAGCCATGGTTGAATAAAGGTGGCAACTTTGGGCTTCTAAAGCTCAAGAGTGCCCAAATATGAAGTCCTTTCATCCCCAAGGGTTCAAATCTCGGATTGACCTTGGAAATGGCCCAAAAATGACTACATACAAGCTAAGAAGGAGATCTAAGTGAATAACAGCCAAGGTATAAGCTTTATACCTCTATGAAGACAGAAATTAGTCCTTAGCTCTGGATCTCCAACCTTCCCTCTGCAACTCCAAGCCTTTGCTTCCTTCTTCTAGCTTAAATCACAAAAATGGCAAGAACTAGCTCAAGATCACTCAAGGTTGATTAGGGTTTCGAGATTAGTGTTTGGAGGTGATGGAGGTTGGGATGGAGGCCATATATGATGCTT